AGCAGCGTCTTGTGTTCCGTGAGAAGGGTGAAATGATGCCCATTAAGTATATTTGAAAATTGCATCACGGCGAGAATGATAGCCAGGGCTTCCTTCTCGATCTGCCCGTAGCTACTTTCAGCAGACGTTAGTGTCCTTACTGCGTGACAGATAGCCTCTTCTACGTTGTTGGGGAAAACGTGGGAAGTCACGACGCCAATGCCAGAGTTGGAGGCGTCCGCTGCGACGACAATCTTCAGATCAGGGTTGAAGTGCATGAGCAGCAAGTCAGAACTTTACATTTTTTCACTCCTTCAAACGCTTGCTGACACTGTCGCGACCAGGACCACTTTAGATCTTTCTTGAGCAGTTCATTAATCGGATGATGAAGACGGTGCATTTCCAGAAGGAACGAGATGTAGTGACTCATGAGACCCAAGAAAGCGCAAAAGGAATTTACGTCCTTTGGTGATGGCATCTGTTCGGTGGCATCAATGCTGTCTGGATCTGGGCGACGGTCGTCTTGGCTGATAATGAACCCGAGGTTTTTCACAGAAGGCATGAAAAAATTGCACTTCTCCAGACGTAGACGGAAACGATAGTCCTGAATACGGCTGAGTACTGTCTTCGGGCGTTGCAACGGTTCTTATGGGTTTGAACCAGTGACGAGGGTATCATCCACATAGGCAGTAGCTCCTTCGCTGCCCTGAAGAGAGGTTTTGCATTTGGGTGTATTCAGAGAGTGACCTTCATCTTTCTGCAGCAACCATGACCGTCTTGAAAAATTGGAGAAAATTTTGCCTTTAGGGTTGACATAAGCTTTGCCGTCAGCTGATACAGTTTGGCAGCACTCGGCCAAGTTGACTGCACACTATTGCAAATGTGGTTAAGTGATAGTTCCAGGAGACCGAGTTTCACGATCTGGTCATGGCCAATTAGGTGAAGTCTCAGACGGCTGGTAGGGTAGCAAGTTTCTTTGAATTGAGTGCCATCAAAGGAAACGTCACATATTAGCTCACCCGTGGGCCGGAGGAACCTTCCCAAAACTTCCACAATTTTTTTGTCCGATGTGATCATCGGAGGCCGTCCAGTCATCTGCCAAGCGCGTTTGGAGGGGAGGCTGATGTCTGATGCCGTGTAAAGCTGGAGGCGTATGGGTTTGCTGTCGATAGTAACCGTAAGATACTTCCTCCTTGTCTCAAATTCAGTCTTGAATGTGGCTAGATTTGAGTGAGGCTTGAGATCGGAATATAATATAGGGCGTTTGGAACGTCTCGTTTGTCTGTCGCTTCCCATTGATTTGGGGGGTTGGCCTGCCTGGCAGTAATCTTCCTTATGCCCTCATTTATGGAATTTCTGACAAGCGTGCTTCTTGAATGAACAGAATCGAACAAAAATGCCAGTCACTACACTGTCAGCATGCTGGTGGCGTCTTGGGATTCTGTAGAGACATTGACTTCGTGCGGTTGACAGCCTGAACCCTAATAGCGGCGAACGAGGAACTGGGTTGCTCCACGATGGCAGAATCATGCTAAAGGTTATTGAGCCGCTGGCACTTGGCAGTCAATATCTGCGGGGTTCAGTCGGGATCCTGTTCAATTTTTGTGAGCAGACGAGCCCTGGTGTCAGCATTGCGAGGGGATTGCAGCGCATTCACGATGATGAAACACTTTAATTTGGTCTTCTGCTATCTCTCCGAGCTTTGACTTTTCACACTCGCGATTGAAGATACTGGCGAGCGTCAAAATAGTCTGTTTTTTCGCCAGTTTTAGACACTTGTATCGGATATTGACCACGGAGGACTTCTCCCTGAAGGTCTCTGACAGGCGCTTGACAGTTTCGTCGAAAATGAAATCAATAGGGGTTTTCGGCAGAATCATGTCCGTGTACCGCTCGTGCCCTTGGGCGCCCAATTTTCGTAGAAGTAGGCGCACCTTCCAAGCATCATCAGAATTGGCAAACTCCACACGGAAGATGTCTTCCCAACGTTTAAATCAAGCGTCGAAAGTCACGCCGGAGTTGGGATCCTAAGTAAATTCGGTGATAGAAGCAGCAGCTGCGTCCGCTGACGTGGACTGTTTCACAGAAGAATCTGGATAAGAAAAATACAAACTGAATTTCTGCATTATAGGCTTCGTCATCTTCATGTGAGCCGCCTTGAAATGAGCTTGTTATTGCTGAAGGATAGACTGCAATAGTTCCATGAAAGTGGCATCGTGAGTCCTGCGTCCCCAATTTGTTGTAAATGTTGCCAAAATCCGTGATATCCCCGTCTAATTACGCCTTGTGTGAGTCCCCAAGGAAGCATACAACAAGAAGAGCGCAAAAGCGAAAGTCTTTTTGTATACCTAGTACAGCGTACTTAAGGCAAGTAAAGCGTACAAGATTGCAATAATCAGATTGTGGTCTCAAGTGAGGAGCGACTGCATCGGCTTTGTGTCACATCCAACTGGTGTTAGAGACCCCCGTCTCGCCGCAGCTGCGCGCGTCATCACGTGCACTGTGTGTGTGAGCGGACCAGTGGTATGGCGTGGGAACGACACTTCAGGGCTTTATGTGCACGCGGTTGAGTTGGGCCCTGACACAGTAAATGCGAAATCACAAGGAAAAGCTTTTAAACATTTATTAAAACTAAGGTCCTCCTCAGGGACACTTAACGTTCTAATTTCATCTGACAACCTCAGGATGTTCCAGGCAGACCCTACACAAAATCAATATTGAAACCACCAGATGACTACCAGGGGCATTTTATAAGTAGGGGACTTTGACCGATTTGCATAATTAATTTGTTCCAGTTGTGAAAAACTCGGCGACTCGCTGGCCCCTTCTAATATAATGTGCCTGTGGACTCTAGGTTGAGTGCTTAGGAAATCCTGCTTGGGTAGTCAGCTGACTGTATCAGAATTTGTGAATTCCATACGTTGTAGTAGGC